CGCATTGCGAGAACACCATAAAACAGGTTATTATGCTGAAATGATGTATACGTGACATATATAGTGCTGTTAGGCTAACTGCCAAGACATTAGTAATCACAATCTATAGCACTTTCTGAGCGTTTCGATATCACGCTGGTCGACTGTAGTGTATCGATATCACGCTGGTCGACTGTAGTGTATCGATATCACGCTGGTCGACTGTAGTGTTTCGATATCACGCTGGTCGATCGTGGTGTATCGATATCACGCTGGTCGACTGTAGTGTTTTGATATCACGCTGGTCGACAGTAGTGTATCGATATCACGCTGGTCGACTGTAGTGCATCGATATCACGTTGGTCGACTGTAGTGTATCGATATCACTGGTCGAAATTATTAACTTCACTTTTTTCATGTGTTTTGGCAAAATCTTCGGACGGCTAAGTGACCCACTTCCCAAGCAAGAGTTACCACTAACTACCAGACAGCAAACAAGATTTGCCAGTAACTAGCAGAAGGCAAGCAAGATTTACCAGTAACGACACATGAACGCAAGTAAAACATTCTGTTACATAATCTGACTCTTAAAATACTTCTTTTTCTTCTCTCACCCAAACTCAACATCAAGATTGCACAACGATAGAGAATAGGTCTTCTATCAAATATAAGAGATATCACCTCACTATACAATTCATCGTTTTAATGCATTTTTTAAATGCATTTTTTCCCCCACCGGCAGCGATCTCTTTCTTATTAGAGTTAACGCATTATTTATTTTCATCGGAGGTAATCTGTAGAATACATTTTAGAAGCCTTTCATAACAGAGTTGTATCCCTGTATACCAGTGGCTCTCGAAGTGGGTGGTACCGCCAACCATTTGGGGATGGGGGGGGGCTGAGATAGCTCGAGGAAGGGGTCGCTTAAAGGCTTTGGAAATATATGGAGAGCGCTGGCAATGCCAAAGTAAGCGCTGGGGGGTCAAATGAAAACGTATGCAAAGAAAGACGACAACACTGTTGGGAGGCCTAAATCAAATAAGACTGAATGTTATACAAGGTTTTCACGCATAACCACCAGCAGATGTAAGAGTCATGCGATCTATCTTTCAAACAGGAATACACGCGGGTCATGAAAACAGCACGTTGATGCCTGCCGAGGCGTTGTAAGCCGACGGCGGCCATTGTTGCATTCTTAAATCCTTTACATTAACTTCGCTTTTGCGCGCGTTTCTTTGTGTCTGGGTCTGTGGCAAAAATCTTCGGACGGCTAACTGACCCACTTTCCGTCAACCTATCGAGCTGAAACTTGCCACATAGGCGTGTGGAAAAATGAAAAAAATTTCAGCCCCACCCCAAACCTGAACCGCCAAAAAATCATTTTTTTCCAAGGGGAAGGTGAAAGAAATATGATGGTACTGATTTCACGAAATCAAATTCCCGATAACTGCGCTAATGATATTCTTAAAGATAACGCAAGTGCGTTTGATGCGCAATAATTTCTTCTTTTTTTTTTGTCTGAAATAGATGGTGTAATGAATCTGTGGTGTTAAAGCGGTTGGGTCATTTAAATGTTAATATAGTTCAGGGGCGTGAAAAGAAATTGCTGTTGTGAGCCCCAAAAGGGGGGGGGGGGGGGGGGGGAGCACTAATTAGGATTCTCATGAAGTACGTTACTTAAATGCAAGTTTGGTAGCTCCCTCCCCCGCCCCTGAACCTCCCCCCCCCACCCCAACCAAAATAAAAAGTTGCTGGATTTTACATTTTATAAAGAATTTATACGAAAAAGATGCTGTTGTGGGGTGTTGTTTATTTCCATTGAACTTGAAAAGTTGTGGCGAATATTGTGAAGCGTGTCTTGCAATGTCTCACACCAAAACACACAGATTCTTGCGTGGAACATAACATTTCATTGCTGATTGTTGAATGTGGACAAAAATCACATCCATCAGGTAAAGAACTAATCTTAAGGGCAATTATTGAGTTTCTGAGTTCATAGACGGAAGGCTGATAATGTGGACGTTTTTATTACAATGGAATGATTCAATTATTTTGCAACATTAATGGCAAACACTTAAGTTTTTAAACTATTTTCTGTTTCTTGATGTTTCTCCATTTGTCAGTCTTCCGAGGAAGGCTCTTACCCGGAACGTTCATCTTTAATTGCCCTGACTTTATATTTTAAACTCCCACATACCTTATTCACTACTTCCTTCTCTCGGCTTGAATGAACGAAAATATTTAAGCATAGAAACATGAACATAGAAATATGAATATTGAAATATGAACATAGTAAAATGAACATATAAATATGAACATATAAGCATGAACAAAGAAATATGAGCATAGAAACATAAACATAGAAATATGAACATAGAAATATGAACATAGAAGTTTTAACATAGAAACATGAACATAGGAATATGAACATAGAAACATGAACATAGAAGTTTGAATATAGAAACATGAACATAGAAATATGAATATTGAAATATGAACATAGTAAAATGAACATATAAATATGAACATATAAGCATGAACAAAGAAATATGAGCATAGAAACATGAACATAGGAATATGAACATAGAAACATGAACATAGAAGTTTGAATATAGAAACATGAACATAGAAATATGAACATAGAAATATGCACATAGAAATATGAACATAGAAATATGAACATAGAAATGTGCACATAGAAATGTGAATATAGAAATATGCACATAGAAACATGAACATGTAAATATGAACATAGAAATATGAACATAGAAACATAAACATAGAAACATGAACAAAGAAATTTGAACATAGAAACCTGAACATTGAAATATGAATAATGAAATATGAACACGGAGAACATGATTTTCTGCTAAGAGACTTTAAGCCAGCCATCGAACAAACTGCAATCACCTTACCATGCCAGAACATTGGGTTAAGAGTTATCGACCGATGAAGACGTTAGATGCCTAAAACAGTTGCTAAATATATTACATCAAAGTGCTGAGGGAATCGATTGTTCGAATTAATCATCTGAATCAATAAATGTAAAAGGTTTGATTTGTTACTGAATTGAATACCCTGCTAGATGTTACTTTGACATTCACTTTTTTTAATGTTGGTCTGAGGGGCATGCAAACTGCTTTGCATTCTTAGGTCCGGGGTGTGGTAAGGGTGAGTTGTTGGTACCCATGGGCGCCCGCAGGTAGTGGCAAGGTGGGGCACTTGCCCCCCCCCCCTGGATTGATTGGATAAAAAAATTTTAGACAAAAATAGACAAAAAATTTATTAAAGTAAAGAGAAAATAAAGAGAAAGTAACTAAGCTGATGTCCTGTCCGTTCGTTCACCATACAATCCCTGGAAAGTTAATCAATTTTGTTTGCCCCCCCCCCTAGAAAGTTTTCTTCGGGCGCGCCCATGGTTGGTACCCATGAGGACGTGGAGACCGAAAATAGTTTAAGATACACTGATGCAGACCAATTATGGAATAGGTGAAAGCATGGATTGCGTGTATTACATTAACTGTAGAGCGTTTCATGTTTTGTCCCTCCAAAGCGTTACGCATGGGATTTTTAAACAATAATTGTTTCTATAAACTTGTAACAACGGATTTATCGTATGCATGTCCTGGTCTTTATTTGTTTCTCTCTCTCTCAGTCTAAAGAACCCTCTGATTTCCTCGCACTCTATACAACTCTCGGATTCTCTCGCACTCTATAGACCTCTCTGATTTTCTCACACTCTATACACCTTTCTGATTTTCTCTCATTCTATAGACCGCTCTCATTTTCTCTCATTTTATAGACCCCTATTATTTTCTCTCATTCTATAGACCTCCCAGATTTTCTCTCCTCTTATAGACCCCTCTGATTGTCTCTCATTCTATAGACCTCTCTGATTTTCTCTCATAGACCCCTCTGATTTTCTCTTATTTTATTGACCCCTCTGATTTTCTCTCATTCTATAAACCTCTCTGATGTTGTTGGCCTTTCTCCTTTAAAATATCTCCCTCCTTCTCGCTGTAGCTCTTTCCCTTTCACATAATTTTTTTTGCTTGTAAGTAAAAAGGATGAATAATATTAATGATAGCAATATTTCAGTAACATGTTTCAAGAAGTCATTTAAACCCTTTTAAAGATATAATTAATGAAGGCTTACATAAAATGTAGTTTAAACGCGTCTCAACGATAGATGCATATAGTGGAACAAACTATCTTTGGGCTTGAAAAGCAGAGACACACCAATTTTTACAATAGCGTATCAGCTATTCGCCTTCTTCAGCAGAGAAACAACAAATTAATAGAAATTAAATACTTATTTTCTGGAAGTTTCTCATCAAAATGTAATCCTCACAACGATTGAGAAGCTCTGACATAAGTCAGAAATAACGAAATAATTGTGAAATGTGAATAATTTAGATTTATAGAAATATATTTACATATTAATTTTATTACAATTTAAATCTTCTGCTACTTTAGATTTAGAGGATAAAACATTGGAGACTGAGTGGGGGGGGGGAGATTCTGGCTTTTTTAAGAGTATAAGAAGACAATGTGCGTACCATCATGTTGAATTCCCGAAAAGTAATGAAACTTAGCACCGACGCGAGCAATGCTATAGCACGGCCTTTGAACGCAAGTTTCACGTTGTCAAAATTTTATTGAAAAGTTCCAATCTTATCGCGTTTAACTTTTGTCTAGAGAGCTACAAGACTAGAGTAGCCCACTTCAGCGTTTGGTAATCACCTACGCCCGTCCACTCCGCCATGATTATAAGTTTACAACTCCCATCGGAATACTTTCTGCACACCACCCTTCTCGCGATCATACTCCTCCACATGGTGGCCATCAGCTACTTCAACTTCACCGGCTTCGACACCGGACTCGACAACGAGCAGCTGGAACCCCTGCTGGCCTACTACGAGGAATTTCAGGCCGCCGACCACAGCCTGAAGGCCCGGCTCGACAACTTCACGCAGCATCGGTTCAAGAGACAACAACGCAACGACCGGCTCCTGCACGGTGTTTTTGTGCTGATCCAAAGTGTGCTGGAGATTTTCACAGAAGAGGATTTCAAAGAGAACGGCACTTCCTTACCGGAAGTGATTCAAAGAGTCGGAGAATGCTCTGAAAAGAACACCTTTGCCGAGCCTAACCTTGGAGGTGCACAGAGAGCTGTTGTAGACATCATGGACTATCAACAACAGCATCTATTCGAAGTCTTCGACACCAAACAAGCCGACATGGACGCGGTGTTTGAATACAACATTCTGGATCCGCATGACGCGGGCGCCACCGAAAAACGAATATTGGACGCCCTGAGCACTGTTGCGTCAGAGCAGAGAGTTTTTTGGTTGAGGATTCTTCAGGACCTGGTGTTTGCGACGGGGGTCGTGGGTCACACCGACAGCTGGAAGAAGACGAGGTCGATTCGACTGGCGGCAGAGCTGCACGTGCACCTTGGCGCCCTACTGAACACGAGGGGGTGTAAGAACTCTCCGCAAGTCATTTGTCAGTTCAGGTATTTGAGAATAGCGTTTGGGATTTTCGTTTCATTTATTTGAATTGATCAATCTAATTTTTTTTTAGTTTTCTGGAATTGGAGTTAAAATATTATAAGGTCATCTTGGACCTAGTCCGGCTTTACAAAATAATAAAGAAGTTTTCGTTTTGGGTGAAATTTGTGCGCACACGTCTTGACTCTGCATTTGATAGACTTGTTTTTTTTGTTGTTGTTTTTTGTTGGTTTTTTTTTGTTTTTTGTTGTTTTTGTTTTTTTGTTGTTTTTTTTTTTTTTTTTTTTTTTTTTTTTTTTTTTTTTTTTTTTTTTTTTTTTTTTTTTTTTTTTTTTTTTTTTTTTTTTGTGGGGGGGGGGGGGCGCTTCAACAACTAAAGTAAAATAAATTCCCGCACACGGACCATTACCTTAGAAAATATTGATGATTTTAAGTCATCATTCGTTTCACCAGTTTTAATGAGTGTTGATTTTTACACAAACCCTTTTTTTTTTTTTTTAGTTGGTAGACTGCAATGACGTTCAACTAAAGTAAAATAAATTCCCGCACACGGACCATTACCTTAGAAAATATTGATGATTTTAAGTCATCATTCGTTTCACCAGTTTTAATGAGTGTTGATTTTTACACAAACCCATTTTTTTTTTTTTTAGTTGGTAGACTGCAATGACGTAGAGCAAAGTTGGATGAAGTAAAACATTACGAAGAGGCCTTTCCATCGCGTTGTCATAGCGACGAGCTGTGTCACTCCTTAGCTATCCGCTTCCGATGTTGTCAGAAACCATCAGAGCGCCAAGGGAGACGAATGATGTTATTGGTTAAATTTTCTTTGTGTGCGTGTGTTTAATGGAAAGGGGAGGCGTTTACCACCTTACCCTCTTTCTTAATTACTTTTTTTTTTTAATTGGTGCTGCTGTGCGCAGCCGTAGTCGGTAGTTCACGAAGCCGTAGTTGGTCGTTGACGGAGCCGTAGTTGGTGGTTGGGGGAGACGTAGTCAGCCATTCACGGAGGCGTAGTCGGCTTAACACGGAGCCGTAGTTGGTGGCTCACGAAACCGTAGTCGACTGTTGACGCAGCCGTAGTCGGCCGTTGACTTTGGAACTGAGCTGGAATTAAGCTGGAGTAAATGGTATCGTGATTGGGTTGGCATCGTTTGTGACCATGTGTCATTGTTAGCATCTACCAGAGAGTACAACTTTATAGAGTTTAAATACAATCTTATCGAGTTTAGACACAACCTTATAGAGTTTACATAAATACAACCTTATTGAGTTTAAATACATCATTATAGGGTTTAAGTTGATTTTGAAATGTTCCTTTAAAAAAAAAAAACACGTTCAAGATATGTTTAATTAACCCAAATGAAGCACCGTTTGCGAGATTCGAACCCAAACCCTAACCCGGAGACATTAAACGAAACACAACACGACCTCTGTGTAATGCTGCATACTGTGTATTTCAGGCCCGGCAAGTTCAGCTCCGACGTCCACAAGGTGACGTACTGCCTGGCGGTCGCCTACGTCACCCGCAGGACGCTGAGGATCAAACCGTTGTGGTGGCTCGCCGGCTGCGCCAGGAGAAAGACTGGCGACTACGTCACGTGGCAGCACCTGCTGTCCGGCGACGTCTGGCGGCGTAGGGCGAGCTACGCCGGGGTGTTGGAACTTTCCAGAGGCGGATTTGACATTTTGGTGAACGCCGACGAGGAGCACCCCTCAACATTGCCAGATTTCTTCACCAACGTCATTCAGCCGTCATTTACAGAACGTATCCGGGAATTTCACGAAGAACCGGAAGTTTGGCTTGTCGGTCAGATGGCGGATTTCATATTAAAACCGTTAAAATCCAAGGTTGGAAAAATATTTCCCTCATCTTTCTTTTTTTTACTATACACGAAAACCTTAACTAACTTTGTATCACTTTTACATCTAACGTTGAAATCAAAATATGGTTGGTTGTTCACTGGGGCGTCTTCAAGTTAATAAATCACTTTCCCCACAAAATCTTTTGATTGCAACCCTGTCTCATTTCAGCTGTCTATGAATCCAAGATATGGCCTTAAATCTCATCACGTAAGAGAAATAGGTAACATTAAAACTCAGATCGTATATTTCCCAACAAGAAATGTGCTTGCAGGTGGGATCCAGGGCGCTGGCAGGGAGGAATCATTGTTATAGATTTGTTTGGTTTATAGCACTGCCTGGGCAACCCATATTCCATTCTTGGTAGGTGAGATGTGGTGTTTGATGTGTGGGGCGTGTTGCTTGATATGTTAGATGTGGTCTTTGACGTAAACGCAGCAAATATAATCTTCTAAGACGGCTGGAAATAATGGTTTGCCTGTCAGACAAACCGACTTAACACTCTCCACGAATATATCGTGCCCACCACACACTTTCCTTTGACCCGCTCTCCCTCTCTCTATCTCTGTCTCTGTCTTTCTCTGTCTCTGTCTCTGTCTGTCTCTGTCTGTCTCACTCTCTCTCTCTCTCTCTCTCTCTCTCTCTCTCATTCTCTCACACACACTCACACACATGCATGCCCCATTCTTAAGAAAAGTTTTACGTTCCCCAATGATTGGTTTATCAACGGTGTCAACCTAACCCACACTAGGATGCTTGCGCCCTGAAGTGGTGAGAGAAAGCATTTCAAAGAATGCGAGGAAACACATTGAGACAGCAGCTTTTACATTATGGTTTTGATATAACTTTTTAGATAATTTAAACATTTCTTCGTTAACAATTCCTTTGTGTAATATGTTCCAAGTTTATTTTTATAGTTCCACAGGTCTCTGAAATTCAACAAATAAATAAGGAATCCAAATTCGTTCAAGTTTGAAATGGATTGGGACTTTTATAAAGGGCGGTGGGGGTGGGGGTAGTGGGATGAGACTTTGTTAAACGATTTGTTTGGGGATGTGGGACTAGTTAAATACTTTCTCTAGGGTGCGGATTATTAAAGAAAGGTTTGGATAGCACTGTATTATAATTAATTAGAACAAACTAGTTTTTTTTTCCTTACACATATTTTTCTTAAAACGCAAATCTTCAACATGTACTCCCCTAGGTTGACTTGAATAAAGCGCGGGAAGAAATGGCTTTCAGGCATCCAATCGTTGGCCTCTATCTCCACCGTACAGACAACACCAGCCAATCACTTGCCTCGCTGATGAAACATGTGATCAGCTTGGGACAAGAAGGACAATCGTTCAAGACGCGCGTATTTGTCGTGACCCTCGACCCTGACCTCTTCAAGATGTTGCAAGAAATCTTCCCCGAATACACGTTTCTACAGCGGAAGAGATCCGACAAGAAAGACTTCCTCACACAAGAGCTCTACCTAGATGTGTATTTCCTGTCACGGTGCGACTATCTTGTGTGTAGTTTCAAGTGGCACATGTGTAGACTCGCCTATGAGCTGATGCAGACGGCTCGCAGTGACTTCTCAGGCCGGGCGTTGGAGCTGAGTCAAAATTGGTTCTTTGGTGGTTTTAGGAGACCCTGACTGAGCCCGTCGAAAGAAATTTAGCCATTAGCCCTTTCAAATGAAAGCGCATATTGGATTTTTAAATTTTGTATCCACTGTTTGGTATCGATTAAATTTAAATTACTTTTCTTCTTCTGGTTTTAAAATTTATTTTTTAAACATCCAACTGGTCAAACATGGTGTCACAATGCAACTGGTCAAACAGGCTGTCACATCCAACTGGTCAAACATGGTGTCACATCCAACTGGTCAAACTTGGTGTCACATCCAACTGGTCAAACATGGTGTCACATCCAACTGGTCAAACATGATGTTAAAATCCAACTGGTCAAACATGGTGTCACATCCAACTGGTCAAACATGATGTTAAAATCCAACTGGTCAAACATGGCGTCACTTCCAACTGGTCAAACATGGTGTCACATCCAACTGGTCAAACATGGTGTTACAATCCAACTGGTCACACATAGTGCCACACCCAACGCGTCACACATGGTGTCACATTTAATTTGTCACACAAGTCACCTCCAAGTTATTAGTTTTTTTTGAGTCGGAGACTCGGCGAGATATTGGCATGGGACACCTCGAGATGTATTTATAGCGATCTTAAGATGACTTTTTTTGCATTCACCACTGGCCCATCAGATTCTAAAAAAGTTAGGCTCATAAATGTAAGGGCCATAAATGTAAGGCCCATAAATGTAAGGCCCATAAATGTAAGGCCCATAAATGTTAGGTCCATAAATGTAAGGCCCATAGATGTTAGGCCTATAGATGTTAGGCCCATAGATGTTAGGCCTATAGATGTTAGGCCCATAGATGTTAGGCCTATAGATATTAGACCCATACATGTTAGGCCTATAGATGTTAGGCCCATAGATGTTAGGCCCATAGATGTTAGGTCCATAGATGTTAGGCCCATAGATGTTAGGCCCATAGATGTTAGGCACATAGATGTTAGGCTCATAGATGTTAGGCTCAGAGCAGATTCGAAAGTCAATGGAGTCAACGTGAATCTTTGCAATCTTTTTTTGTTCCTTGACCAACCAGGGTTTGAAATATAGCATTACGACTTCTGTCCTCTCTTCACCAACCAGGGTTTGAAATAGAGCATTACGACTTCTGTGTTCTCTTGACCAACCAGGGTTTGAAATAGAGCATTACGACTTCTGTGTTCTCTTGACCAACCAGGGTTTGAAATAGAGCATTACGACTTCTGTCCTCTCTTCACCAACCAGGGTTTGAAATAGAGCATTACGACTTCTGTCCTCTCTTGACCAACCAGGGTTTGAAATAGAGCATTACGACTTATGTCCTCACTTGACCAACCAGGGTTTGAAATAGAGCATTACGACTTCTGTGTTCTCTTGACCAACCAGGGTTTGAAATAGAGCATGACGACTTCTGTCCTCTCATAGATTAAAGTGAACTAATTACATTTTTTTTTCATTCTTAGTGACATTATGTGGCATGTGTCTTTTGAATATATTGTTATTTTAATCAGACCTGTTATTAAGTTACATACAAATAGTTATGCTATTTGTCCTAAAGCTATAACTTATATTATGAATAACAAATTAATAACGACCGTGCGGTTGTTTTACTGAAGGAACAAAACTTGCAGACGCAAGGTCTATGGTAACCCTTCGCAGCATCTACCCATAATTTACTAGAAATGTTTGCTAGAACCACGCAGCTGTATTTATTCTTGCTCACTGTATTTCAGAAAGTCGCTTATGTTCCACATGGGGGCCGTATCGTCCCCCCTGTAGATAATGTATTGAAAGCGACTCTGGGGAAAAGTATTGATCAGGCTCACATTGGAAAGTAATGCATGGAGAACTTGGAATTGTTTCGGATTGTATTTGTAGGTCATTGGGTTAAACTTTTTGGATGTTCGTACAACAAAAAAAGGGTAACTACCCAAAAATGTAAAGCCCAAAATGGATTATCACAACGAGATGATTAGATTGTTTTTTTTTTTGGCATTCCATCTTTTCGCAGATAACATTGTGTTGCTAGTGTTTATGGAGAAGGGGGTGGGAAGTGGGGGGGGGGGCCTAAACCGTTATATTTCTTTGCAATTCGGGGATGGGTTTTTTTTTTTCAAACAAATACAAGAAAAATACCATTACCAGAACCGCCGGGAAGTCTGTTTGATTCCAAATATGTGTTTATGGAGGGGGGGGTGGGAGGTGGGGGGGGGGGCCTAAACCGTTATATTTCTTTGCAATTCGGTGATGGGTTTTTTTTCTTCAAACAAATACAGAAACAATATCATTACCAGAACAGCCGGGAAGTCTGTTTGATTCCAAATAGTGATAACGAAAGTGATTGGTGTGGAACTACACTGGCTGGTCGATGACCAATCATTAAGCCCAAAGTATTGAACCGCTGATTGATTTTACGCGTGTGGAAATGGTCGAGCTGAACACGCCGACATGTACAGCGCTATAATGTTCAAACCCGAATTCTATCTCTGGTTCGTCCTTGAACTTCTAGTTTGATAATTTGGTCTAAAGGCATGATTCTCAAGCAGACGGCAGTCTCATTCGTCACAAGGCTGCATGCCAAAAAGATTTTTGACCTTATTTTAACGTTCACGATTAACTCCAATATAATGTATTCCACTAGCTATAATTTATTCCACTAGCTATAATTTATTCCACTAGCTATAATTTATTGCACTTGCTATAATTTATTCCACTGGCTATAATTTATTCCACTAGCTATAATTTATTCCACTAGCTATAATTTATTCCACTAGCTATAATTTATTCCACTAGCTATAATTTATTCCACTAGCTATAATTTATTCTGCTAGCTATAATTTATTCCACTTGCTATTATTAATACCGCTGGCTATAATGATTCCATTAGCTATAATTTATTGCGCTAGCTTTAATATATTCCACTAGCTATAATTTATTCCACTAGCTATAATTTATTCCACTAGTTATAATTTATTCCACTAGCTATAATTTATTGCGGTAGCTTTAATATATTCCACTAGCTATAATTTATTCTGCTAGCTATAATTTATTCCACTTGCTATTATTAATACCGCTGGCTATAATGATTCCATTAGCTATAATTTATTGCGCTAGCTTTAATATATTCCACTAGCTATAACTTATTCCACTAGCTATAATTAATTCCACTAGCTATAATTTATTCTGCTAGCTATAATTTATTCCACTAGCTATTATTAATACCGCTGGCTATAATGATTCCATTAGCTATAATTTATTGCGCTAGCTTTAATATATTCCACTAGCTGTAATTTATTCCACTAGCTATAATTAATTCCACTAGCTATGATTTATTCCGCTAGCTATAATTTATTCCACCAGCTATAATTTATCTCGCTAGCCATAATTTATTTCGCTAGCTATAATTCATTCCGCTAGCTATAGTGTATTCCAATAGCTATAATTTATTGCACCAGCTATAATTTATTTCGCTATCTTTAGTTTATTCCACTAGTGATAACGTATTCCGCTAACTATAAAATAAGACAATGTTTGCTTAGGAAACGGATTTTATTCCAACTCTAAAACGTGCATCTTCTTCCGAACTCTGTGGATCAGTTATTTTATGTTAGTAATTACCCCTGTCTTTGAATAGGTACCTTACTTTGCTGAGTACTATGGCTTACTCCTTTGTATGAATAGCTACCTTTCTCTGCTAAGTTCTAGGCCTTACTGCTGTCTGTGAATAGTTACCTTACTTTGCTGAGTACTAGGGCTTACTGTTGTCTTTGAATAGCTACCTTACTTCGCTGAGTACTAGGGCTTACGCCTCTCTATGAATAGCTACCTTACCTCGCTGAGTACTAGGGCTTACGCCTCTCTATGAATAGCTACCTTGCTTCACTGAGTACTACGGCTTATGCCTATCTATGAATAGCTACCTTACTTCGCTGAGTACTAGGACTTACTCCTCTCTATGAATAGCTACTTTACTTCGCTGAGTACTAGTGCTTACTCCTCTCTATGAATAGCTATCTTACTGCGCTGAGTACTAGGGCTTACTCCTCTCTATGAATAGCTACTTTACTTCGCTGAGTACTAGGGCTTACTTCTCTCTATGAATAGCTACCTAACTTCGCTGAGTACTAGGGCTTACTCCTCTCGATGAATAGCTACCTTACTTCGCTGAGTACTAGGGCTTACTTCTCTCTATGAATAGCTACATAACTTCGCTTAGTACTAGGGCTTACTCCTCTCTATGAATAGCTACCTTACTTCGCTGAGTACTAGGGCTTACTTCTCTCTATGAATAGCTACCTTACTTCGTTGAGTACTAGGGCTTACTCCCCGCCTTCCCGACCGTTAGAGTGACATGCTTCTGTGGCATTAAAGCATTAAAGCGCCATCCAAACAACACATCTGAAAGTCTTGAATCCATTTTTTTCCATCATGTTTCGATACAGTTATAAATCCCTCACTTTAGCCTTGCGTCACACATGCATCTTATGATTCGAACGCCCTAATCCCATTTATGGAAAGGGTGTAGACCAGGGGTCTCAAACTCGCGGCCCGCGGGCCATTTGCGGCCCGCAAGACGATATTTTGTGACCCGCCACCTGACATCAAAAGTTAGTATTAATGCGGCCCGCGCGTTTTCCATATTCTCATATCTATAATGTGACCCTCCGTGAAGATTTCAGTCGAATCTCACCAACTAGTCTGATTCTGATTTTTATTATGTTTATATAAATACCTATAGGTTTTGACGTTGATTATAATGATAAAAACCGTTTTAAAATCGGACTAAAAGGTTTTATTTGATAGCATATTATGAGCCAAACATGGCGGCCAAAGTGCGCTTTTAAGAAAACACGCTTTGAACTGTGTAAATCGTAACAATCTTACACCGTATCAAACAATCCCTATTAAAATTGCCGCTAGTGTGTACCAGTGACGAGTGACGTAAGTTCCGAGCCAGTCAGCTGGGTCTCTTGAAACATGATTTGGGAGTGTTACCGAGTGGAGGGAAAATATATTTTATCAAAC